TTATTTTTTAGAGTTTGGTCATCTTTAGGACAGAATTTATTACATTTTCTACTCTTAAATTATCATCAAAGCATTTATTTAGTTCTTACCTAATTAAAATTTTATTTTAAAATGCATTTAAATTTTGCCCTTCTTATGTTTGATCATTTTTTCACTTTGGTCTTTTAAATTTATTTTTCTCACTTTGGCGCTTTATGTTACAAATTCTTCTCAATTTACTTTTAAAACTAACTTTTGTTTAAATTTAGATGAAAAATGCCACGTTAACTATTACATAATATAAAAAACATATTATTATACGGTGGTGCTACATGTACCAATTCGTATACTAACTAGCGTAGCAACACTAGTTATGACATTATTATTGACCTCACTCATTTATCTCATTACAAATTTCAAAAACCTCTTAAATTATGCCACATCATCAATTGGTATATTAGTTAGTATATCAATTGGTACCTATAGCATTATTCATTATTATATTATGATTTAAGTTTGTGTTAGACGTGTTGGTTATATACAATAAAACATTTTTATGTTACGTGATTATTGATGTGTCATTTTTTGTCTTAATTTTGGACATAAATTAACTTTTGAAGTAAATTATAAAAAAATTAAAACATAAAAGGGAAAAAAGGGTAAAAAATAAATTTTAAAAGGCAAGATAAAAAAATAATCAAACATAAAAGAGATAACAGTGGAATTTACCAAACTACTAAACTACAAACTCAGTTCATCGTCTGATCATCTTCTTGATGGTATATCGGAATTCACATCGGAGTTGTATGCACTCTGCAGTGGACTATTGGTGGCGGCGTTACTTGCACTGTTGCCACCACCACCACCACCGCTACCGCTACCGCCTGGTCCTTGGATCCTCTCAAGCGTTTCCCCTGCTTTTGAGGATACAGAGACAATGGACTCGACCCAACTCTCATATATCTGAGCTTTGATCTATCCTCTCTTTGCATGTTCTGTGTCTTGTACCTCGTATGAAAGAAATTGCACCGATATATCTATTCCATGTGATTGTAAGAGAAAGAGGCAAAGTTCATCTCTAATATGTGGTAATTCCTTGAGTAGCATTCAATCATTATCAAGTGATCTTTTTGAGTTATTCATTTGAATTGGATCTCAGTCACTTCCAAATTTGAGATTATATAGCCAGTGTATCAATCATTCATAGTTGACTTCTGATTTTCATAACTTTTGAGTTGTCTTATAGAGGAATAGCCATGTAGTTGCAATAGTCATGCCGTAATTCATTATGTATAGAATTTTGGGACCTTTTGGGATGTTACCTTCCAGTTTGATGAAGGGAGTTGGAATTATATCTTCGCCGGTAGTGATTGAAGATGCAAAGCAATGAAGAGAGACTGCCTATGGATAAAGTGGAGTAAGTATGGCAATCTGAACAATATGTTTCCTATTGCTCGTTGAGATGTGAAGTAATTCCATTTACTAGGGTAGGTTTGCAGCATCATTGGTGGTGATAGAATCACTGTTTAACCCATTCTTAAAGTAAGTCATGTTAGACCTCTCACCATGAATTTTGGTTAGTTTTGTAACATTTAGTAATTCTTCTGGTTGAATCCTTGGATTTTACCTCGTCTGATGTAGCATACATTGCCATAACTGGTTATGCTAGCTATGATTCATCTTTTTTGCATCTTAAAATTATTATGATACATAATGACTGTAAAAATATAGAGATAAATTGTATGTATTATTGATTGATATTGTATTACAAGATTGTTCTATCTATATTTTGTACAAGAATTCCTATTATATAGGAGATGATTCTGGAGTAGGTGAGGAGTGAGTGGTGGAGGTAGGTTTGGTGGAGTGTAGTAGGTGATAGGAGTGAGTGGTGGAGGTAGGTTTGGTGGAGTGTAGTAGGAATTTACATTTACATTAACAATGACTATGAAAAATTGGCTGAGTTATTGACAATTTTTTAGCACGCTACTCACTAGATATTAGTAGCATCAATTTTTTTACTTAATTCTTTATGAATTTGGATATAAGATATTTAGTAGCTGAAGGTAACAATAGCACGCTACACACGTAAAGGTTCAACTAGTATAAAGAGTGGCAAAATCTTAAGTTGAGTCTAACGCTCAAATTACTAAAAATATTCTTTCTGCAAATTGATATTACCGCTTACCCATTGTAGTGGGCCATATGGTATGGTGATGATCCATGTTTTTGTAGAGTGGAGATGAATGGCTTTGCTACATACCAGCTACGTGGCCTTGGCACTGTGGTGGTCACCGTAGTTTTTTCGACAAAATATTTCATATAACATGGTTATAAATCCAAACTTATGAATCAAGAATTTATTGATTAAAAAAAAAAAAATTGATGGTTTAAATTTATTTTACTCATGGACTTGACAACTTATTAATTTAATTTGTACTACAAACATATTCTAGACAAAATATAGATTCATTAGTATGGGTTAGGGGTGCAACTCGGACGGGTTCGGTCGGGTTGGGGGTCTGCCCAAGCCCGACCCGAATTGTATTTGGTAGTGCCCAAGCCCGCCCAAGCCCGACCATGAACCCGAGCATTGCTGCCCAAGCCCGGCCCAAGCTTTGTATTTTGAACTCGGGTTAGCCCGAATTGCCCGAGTCCAGAAACCTGTAGGTAGATCTAAGGATAGACATAAAAGATGCTAATCTAATGGTAGAAGACTAACCAAAAAAAAATAAATAAAAAACAAAAATTAAGACTAACTCTTTTACTTAATAGAAGACTAACAAAAAAAAATAAAAATAAAAATAAAAATTAAGACTAACTCTTTTACTTAATTTATATATATTATATATTATATATTATATAATTTATATAATATATTAAATTCAATTCAGGTTCGGGTTGCTCGGGTTGGCCATTGGTTCTGCCCAAGCCCAGCCCGAATTGCAATTCGGACATCAAAAATCTGTCCAAGCCCGTCTAGATTACAAGATATAGTTGCCCAAGCCCTAAAAAAACTCGGGCTGGGCTTGGGTTGCTCGGGTTGAGCCCGCCCGAGTTGCACCCCTAGTATGGGTTCATAGTGGCCTTGTTCGGCTAGAGGCTATTTCGCTAAAACAGTTAATAAAGACAAAATCTACTATTATTATAAAAGTGTGAAGAGCTTGGCATGTTTTCTACTTTTTTTAAATCCGATTGGTTACACTTTGCTTGGTTACATTTTTCCAAAAACACTTTTTTAAAAATTCTACTTTTTTGTTTTCTGCATTTTTTTGTTTGTATTGAAAAAAACACTTTTTTAAAAATTCTACTTTTTTGTTTTCTGCATTTTTTTGTTTGTATTGAATTTTTTTAATATTTTAAGCAAATTTTTTTTTAAAACTTTTTAGACATACCTAACATAAATATACCTAAAAAGTAAAAAAATTGTGAAAAAAACCTTCTAAAAATTCACTAAATACCAAAAATTAAAAAAAAATCGAGAATTCAATACATTTTTTGTATTTTTATGTATTTATTAATTTTTTAAAATATTTTTTCCACAAATTTTCTACTTTTTAGATACGTCTAAGTAAGGTGCATCTAAAAAAGTAAAAAAAAAAAAAAGTTTAAAAACATTCACTAAAAACAAAAAACACGAAAATCAAAAAACTTAGTTTTCAAAAAACTAAATTAAAAAAACTCAAACCAAACACTGAATTTTTTTTTTCTTTTCAAATCTACTATATTTTCTAAAAGTCATGAAGAAATTCTATATAATCAACTATCTCTTTATTTTTGGAGATGAACACTTAAAAACGATATATCTGTCTCAAAGAGTCTTATATATAAATATAAACAAACCGTCTCCCTTCTCTTATATATATATATATATATACCAGGGAATGCCCGTGCCTGAAGGCACGGTGACCATTAATAAATGAAAATGTAATTGAATATAAAATTATTGGGTTAAAATGTAATTTACTTAATTTGTTGGGAAAAAAAATTTGAGGTGAAAATATAAATAGACGATCTGTATGGATTTGGATTTTCAAATGAATTTTATAATTAGATTTTTGGAAAGAGTTTGGAGTATTGTAGTATGATGACACAAATGCAAACAAAGATCATATCAACAAATATTGACCATTGTAGTATTTTTATTTATGTAACCCACTTGCAATTTCTAATAGAAAATAAGCATTTTCTTATCCTAGCCAATAACAATACCCAAATAAATTTCTATATCCACATTTTTTTAGATAGTGAGTTTTGGTTGAAGTAAAGAAGAGAGATCTCAAAACTATAGTTTTGCATCAATTTTAATGTAATGGTTAAAAGCTACCAATTTTTATGGTTTGTTGGTCAGTTTATTGTGCAGAAAATTAAATAAATGAAAAATAAATAAATTGTATGCTACTTGGTGAATAAATCAATTTGAACATAAATTTTCCAAATTTATAGGTAAACGAAATAGTGAAAAGTAAACACATAAATGCTACGTAAAATTCAAGCATAACAAAAGCATAAGATTTTAAACAAACAACAAAATGTAAGTTCCACAACACAGAAACATCTATATAAAAATCAGACGAAATACGCTAGCCAATGCTATGTAATAGAAAAAAATAAACAACAAATTAAGCATACCAACCAATGCTTTGCAATACAAAAAAAATGCCAAATAACAAATTAAGCACACCAGCCAGTGCTCTGCAATACAAAAAAAATGGCAAATAACAAATTAAGCACACCAGCCAATGTTCTGTAATACAAAGAAAATGCAACACCCTTCCTGATAAAAAGATAACCAAATAAAAATATGATTAGTTTTGTTTAACCTAATTCAAGAGCATATTAGGAAGAAAAATATATATATATATATATATCACCTACTGTGTTACATTTACAAAAACAAACTCATAGCATAAATCAATAATTCAAATGAATATTATCTAACATACATCTAAACTTAGTTATAAATTTCACATAGATAAAAGGCTTTACAAAACTATTGTAAGTGTTGATACAGTTTATCCCTAGTGAATGGAGCGAACTGGACCAAGCTCCTCAAGCCCAAGCCCAAATGATTGAGCCCACCGGCGACCCTGCAAACAAGTTCAATGGGGAATGGGGTAGTCCCCCAGTGAACCCTCCGACGATCAAGTTAGGAAGAGAAGTAGAGTATATGGGAGAAAATTAGAGATAGAAAGCTTAACCTTTTTCTTGTCTACAACGTTCGCTTATATCCTTTGGCAATCATCTCGCTGTCCCTTCTGACCTGCTCTCCTTGCCAAAAGCCTATGCTGTAGCTTACTTTGCTTAGGGTAAGGGGGTCCTGTTCCGGCGGAGAGGTGTTGTCGTAATAAATGCTGTGATGGGCTGCATTAATGGTGATGTGCAGTGGCAATAATTTTGCAGATCTTTGTCTGCTGATGTGGCTCGTCCTTCACCCGCCACGTGTCTGAATGCCGTTGGTTCTTGATGCCATATTGGATTCCAGCTGTTCTGGACTCTATCGGCTGGGTTATGCATTGGGCCCCGAATGATGGGCTTGGGTTGCTTATAGTGGTTCATGGCCTTTGTGGGCCTGTCCATGTCAGTAAGTAATAAATTTTACATCGATCAGAAACTTTACAAAATATGGATCGTAGCTAGCATATGTACGCTTTTCACAAAAATAAATATGAGATTCAAACTTGTTCTCTCTTAGAAATCCTAGGAGCGCCTCATCACTTTCCAAAACGTCCTCGTATCAACTTGTATGTATCCCCAGTGAGGAGTATGCACGACAATCTACTAATTAATTTATGAAAATAAAAAAAGTTAGTATATTAGCAAAAGAAAATTTATATATATATCAAAACATTTTCAAATTGAAATTACCTTGTTACATCCCCATCGAAGCAATCTAATTGTATTTATATTTTTGAGCTCCATATATTTTTTAACCCAATCCTACAAAAGTCGACACATATAGTAAAATATTTAAAAAATAATAATTTGTAATCAATAGAAACAAATTTATCAATAAATAAATTGTACCTTTTGACAAAAGTGGTTTGATCCATGAGTAACACTATAACAAAATTTCATGATAAACAATGTTTGTAGTAGAATCTGGCTCATCATTGGGAAGGAGGACACTTATACGATCAAAAGATGTGCATCTAGATAGGGCCACATAAAATTGTCCATGACTAAACACTGGTGTGCGCAAATCAACTCCAACAAATTTCATTGATTGCCCTTGAGATTTATTAATGATCAGGGCATATGCCAATCGAACTGGAAATTGATGTCTTGTCATTCGGAAAGGCATTTATGAAGAAGACAGTGTCAAGGATATCCTTGGTATGAATACCAAATTGCCACATTTTTCTCCAGTTAAAATTTGAGCTTCAATTATGCGAGTATTACATCTAGAAACCATCAATCTTGTGCCATTGCATAGTCCATCTTTTGGTGCAATATTTCTTAACAACATTATAGGACAACCCACTTTCAACTCTACCTTAAAAGCTAGTAGCCCAGGAGGATCTAATGAATTTAAATATTCATTAGGATATCTATTTATTATAGTACGATCAATTTCATCATCTTCAGACATCTTGTCTGCTGCCAAATAAGTATATGTGTTACCAGGAAAAATATTCAATGCTGCAGTATTGATAGCATTAACATCATCATTCCGTGCAGAAAGAATTGTACGTTCAGTTAAAAATGTTGCAGTCGATGTCATTGCCACATCCAGTTGCGGACAAACTACTGAGATTATATCTTTTAGATCTTGGCATTTGTGTATTGTTGATGGAAGTTTAACAATTTCCTGAGGATTGGTCCCAATCTATTTATAAAAATAAATAAATAAAATAGTAAGTAAAATCAATTAAAGTAAATAAACGTAAATGTATTTCGTCAATTTAAAAGAACCATATAATAGAGAAAAAGTTTGAAGAAATATTACCTCCATCAAGAATTTTGCAAAATTAGCATTTTCAAGATTTACATGATTCAAGCGCATGTTTAAATTTAAAGACAGAACATGTATATCCTTCCATAGAAAAGAGTGTCTTAATTATGCATTCATAATTTGCTCACGGACTCCTTTGGTTATAATTGGTAAGATTTGTCAAAAATCTCCACCAAGAACAACAGTGATACCCCCAAATGGCTTTTCACTATCACAAGTGTCCCGAAGTGTGCGATCAACTACCTCAACACAATGTCTATGCTGCATAGGAACTTCATCCCAGATTATAAGTTTTGTTTCTCTAAACAATTCTGCTTGTAATGATTGCTTGCTAAATCCACAAATTGAATTTTCCAATACATCCAACGGAATGGAAGATGTTGAATAAGCAGTATGACCTCCTACCAATAACAATGATGCAATTCTAGATGAAGCCATAGTAATAACAATATGGCCAAGGCTGCGACACTTTAATGCAATCGCATTGTACAAAAACGTTTTCCCTGTTTCGGCACCTCCATTCAAAAAGAAAATAGTTCCTTTATTTTCAAAGACTGAGGAAGTGATTGCATCATAAGCTGTTCGTTGATCATTGTTGAGGTGATCAATAATAATTTCTACATTTGCCTGTTGTGCCTCATTATGCAGTTGTTGATGTTCGAATATCAACCTGTTACCAACTACTGCACTCCAATTTGTAGAAGGTTGTGGCATTAGCGGGAAGTCAATTAAACTTTTTCCTGATTCTTAGAGCATTTGATTCAAAAGATATAGACCATAGTCTTCAATTTGAGCATCAGTTGGTTCAGAAATGGCAAACAATATTCGAATCTTATGTGCAAGATCATCACATATATGCATTGAAAAATTGATTCCATAACGCATATGGTTGCAGTGGAGAGCACTGAGTAAGAATAATAGTAAACAATCTCCTTAATTGATAACCAGTTTTCATAACTGCAGCCTCTTTAAGGCATTGTATCCATTCTTCATCATCTTCTAAAAGTCCTCTTGCAATACATGTTGATTTAAACGTATCATGCAAAACATTGTTGACCGTGCGTAAACATTGAAACGATTTTGGTCCTTTGACAATAGTTAATAGCAAACGCAAATAAAATCTGTCACCACAATTAGGGCTAGTAAAGTACATTCTACCGATTGCATAGCCTTGCTGCCTTGGTTTCCATCTCTTTTCTGAATTAAGCCAAACAAAATGTTGTGGAAATTCTTGGTAAGTGAATTAACATTCATCTTCCATAGAAACGCAATATTCAAAATTGACATTTGTTGGCCAGCTCTAGAAACAATTGCTTCTAATGATTCATCAGGATTAAAAAGAACGTGATGCATTCCAGGTAAATGAAGTGCTAAGCGTACAACTGTTGGTATCTCTACATGCAATAGATAACCAAATATTCGCCAAGCAGCTTCTGGAGGTCCAATATACCTTGCATTGAGATATTGTTGGATCTCATTTATCAATCCCAACACCATCGTTGTACGATCATAACCCTTGTAAATGTACTTGTATATATACTTGACACATCTCATTCTGGCACAAACTTCCACATTTATGTGACAATTGAAACATTTAGAAAGATATGCATTGTATGGTACGATGTCTCTGTTATCAACTTCTTTCCCCCTCACAATATGAGCTTGACCATTATTGCGACGACGATAGATAGGATATCCATTTTGATCCATAGTAGTTGTTTCTGCGAACACTCGAGGGTATCTCTTAGTGCATTTACCATTTTCCATACATGGTGCTTGTGGATTTCGAGCACCACATGGTCTATGTACCATACAACACTTGATAGTTTCAAAAGGCATAGGTTCATCTTTTGGATCTGGAAATTCTGCACAAACCAATTTGTCTACTTGAGCACATGTTCGAATTTTTTTGGACCCTTAAGAAATAGAAGTTCATGCATATGAGGAAGGCCTCGCTTTTGGAATTCAATTGTAAAAGCATTTGCAACTTTATTACCAAACACTCGGTTTGTTTCTATCTCCTTTATCAAGAACTTTCTCTTTAACTCAAAAACACGGGCGATTAAATCAGGACGATCAATAGGCTTTTGGTGCGGTAATAATGCCGAAGTAATTTCTGGCCAATTAGGATTTGCAGTCATGGTGAGAAAAATGTTTGGATGTTGGTTGTATCGTGTGATAGCCATTGAGTCTTGAAAGATTTCAAATATGTGTCTAGGACCTCCAGGAAATGAAGATGGCAAAACAAACCTTTGACCAATTTGATTGGGTTGAAGGTCATTTGGATCAATATATGTCAAATCTTGGTAAAGTTCAGCACGGATCTTCCCTTGATTAAGCTTGTAGTAAGTCAACCTTGTTCAGTTGCGGCCCAAGCATCAACCAAAAACTCTTGGAACAATTTTCCAGCTCTCAAAATTCTTGAATACTCTGTGGGTCATTCAAACAAACGATAATTATAAAAATCCATTTGAGTAAGCCGATTAGTTAAAGGCCGATCACGTTCAACATCCCATAGTTTTATCTCAGGTTCCCATCCAAGCTCACCATGTGGAAATAATAAAACATTATGTAATGGCAAATATGCTGGGTGACATTCATTGATTTGCATTAGCTCATTATTTCCATGTAGATGTAAGATAACATCTCTCATTCCACTAACCTTGGTTCCATCACCTGGTATTACAACTGCAATCTCATCTATAGTTGGTAGGTTATACCGTCGTCGATCTGTCGATGAACTATAGTGGAGATGAGCAGGCAAATTTCGTCCTGTCAAGGCTAATTGATTCAAAATTGCATGAGCCTGGTGGAATTTAGCAACGAATGCATTAACTTGTAATAAACTATCTTGAATAGTTTTTAGAACATCTCTTCTTAATTGAGAATTTCTACGATTGCGAACTTCTAAAGATAAATCAGGGTCATAAATGTACAATTGTGCATAAGCTGCATCTTGCCCTGATTGTGGTAGTAGTGATCTTGCTCGATGTCGCAATTCCCCATGGATAGTGAATGATGTAGGGCCTCTTCCAGTAAGTACTCTTGGATCTAATGTAGCACCAAGACTTGTAAAAGCATTGGTTGCATTGCACACTCGAGTATAACGTCGAAACGATTTTGATTTATCATCATTCCCATCATATAATGCTTGAAGAAGTGAAGGGGGTGTAATAAGCAGAGGAAGCTTAACCTTCCCTTTTGAACAACATGTTTCGAATAGAGGACGGTTTGGAGATGATTTTACTAATTTTTCATCCATCCAATGTAATGCTGAACAGAAAGGACATAATACATCCACCTTGCCAAGAGAATGACGACATGAATTTATATGTGCTCGAGTACCAACCATTGGACTCATAGGCATATCCTCTAATTCCTCATTAGTACATAGATCCTCTTGAAAGGAAGGAGTTGTAAGAGTAGGCCTACAAATATTGGCTCTGTGTAAATTAAAATAGAATGGTAATAGTAGGATTATGTATTTGAAGAATTAAACATAGTCTTTTACCAATTCCATTGTGGAGCTAAAGATGTGCTTGGCATTGAGGACGAACATGTGGAAGGATGTGCAACCATTGTTCGTTTTTGCGCCGACTGAGTATCCTCAGTTGCCTTTGTTCCTAGTTCCAAGCAAGCACGACTACGACGACACGGTATTAAAGAAGTTTGTCTCGGTTGAATACATTCTCTTGATTTCTCCCGTTCTCGCCGTGCACGTTGGGCCAATGTAGCTTTTGATATAACATTGTTATTGTGTGCCTAAAATGTGAACATTATATCATTGATACCTAAAATACAAATATTATCGTATACTATTTTATTTCTTTTTCTTCCTGCCTTGTGATAATTTTAAGAATATTTTTACATTTTCTTTGTCCTACTTCCTTTTCCATTTTGCTTCATTTTCCCTCTTCATGCCTTGTGATATAACAATTTATTTTTTAATTATTGTTTTCTCTTTCTTCTTGCCTCATGATGATTTTAAGAAAATTAAAAATATTTTCTATGCTTATGTTCCTCTGTTCCTTTGCTTAGATGTTATAAAGTTTTTCTTGGAGTTGATAAAGGTTATAATTATTTTTTAGGAAATGTTAAAGATAGCTAAAAATACTTTGTTTGAGTGTACAGAAAACAAAGAGCATACAAAAAAAAATTGACAACATAGTTAACATTTTTAAAAATATGCATGATCAATGTTCACTTAAACAATATGATTGGCTTTGTTTTACTCGATAAATATTTTTTTAAAGATGTTGAATATATACCATTGGACATGCGTTTTCCTTTCCTTTGTCAAAAGAAGTTGCCTTTTCTTTTCCTTTAGACATTGCCATGGCCTTTTCCTTTTCCTTTGCCTACCAAAAATAAATAAAATTTATTCAGAATACAAAAAAGAACATGTATTTATAGCATTTATTAAGATTACGAAAAAAGAATATGTTGAACTTGATATTTATACTTACCTTACAATTGCAGATAATATTAAGATTGCACTCATCACGAATAACAACACCGATATTCCTAGTCTCATGGAGCAATGGGCTTGCATGAGTAGGCCTACAAATATTTGTTGTGTACAAAATAAAATTTATAAAATAAAATCTGAACAATAAGAATATGTATTTGTAGAATTAAATGTGCTTGGCGAAGTAAAATGTGTAAACATTACTCCTTTCTGAGCCGGTGGAGTATTAGTTGCGTTTGGTGGAATCAATTCTCTCGTTCACGTCGCGAACGTTGTCCCAATTGATATGAAGAGCTTGCCTTATCATTTCTTTCGCGTTCTCGCCATGCACGTTGAGCCAATGCAGCTTTCGATATAACATTATTATTGTTATGTGCCTAAAACATGAAGATTAATTTCATAAGATGCCTAAAATTGAATATTATCATCTATTGTTTTATACTTTTCTCTTCATTTTTCATTTCTATTAATTTACTTTATCTTAATTCCCTTTCCTTCTGATATTTTGTAAAAAAATTGAAAACTTTTTCAT